AGGTTACTGGCTTGTGATTTAAGGTCTGCATTCTCTATTTTTAAGTTCATATTTTCAGTTTCTAGCGCTGCATTTTTTATTTTTAAATCCGTGTTTTCTGTTTCGAGGTTATTGACACTCCAAATATTTACTAGTACCTATTCAAAACATGATTAATTAGAATGATAATTATTAATAATATATGAAGAGTTCTTACATTATTAAGATTTTCTATGATCCTAAATAATCTTTCGTTGGTCTATTTAATGATTATCAGTATTAATTAATTGTTATAGTATTAAAATTACCAAAATTTTTTAGATATACTTACATATTGCCAGATGGTATTGACATTGTCAATATTATTCTATTTAAGTAAAAGTCTTTAAAAGCATGAATTAATGGTGTTAATTGATTCAAGTTATTTATTATTACCTTTATAGTAAACACACAGATAATCATGAGCGCAACAATAATCGCAATAAAATGCCAGTTGTTTTTGATTATATTCTCATTATTAGTCCGATTATTATGACAAATTAAAATTGATTGATGCTATTGTTGATTTGGAGTTTTTGGAGTTCGATCTAAATCCTTATTTATTTGATTTGAACTTTCATTATTTAATGTTGTCTGTGAATGTAAACTATTTTGTTGATTAGCTAAGAAAACTGCAGGAGGCTGGTAACAGGAAGACTGATTAACTGTAGAAGAAGTTTGATAATTAACAAGGGCATCTTCTGATAGCACCAGTTCTTGATCGGTACTTAAATTTTGGTTACTATCTTCAACGATGGATCCTCTTCTGGATTGGGAATCCACTGAGCTGCTCACTAATATTTTTCCTTCTATTAACGAGAATATAAATTTAAAAAAAAAACATTTATCACTGGCTTGATAAAATAATGATTATACCATTAATAAATTTCTGAGCTGCTACAAAAAAATCGTCAGCATACTTTTTATCATTTTTAATTTCTTTTATTGCTTTATGAACATCTTCTTGTTGGTTAGAAAAACAAACATTTTTTTCAATTAATGAGCTAAAAGGTGGAGTTTTAAAATGATTTAAATATTTATCATAATCTTCATCTGTTAAACTAATATTTCTTAGTGTTCGGGCTTTAATTTTGTTCATTATTATCAAAATTTATGATTAAAATTGATGTCAAGACTATTAGGTCTCACTTTCTTTAAATAAATCAAACGAGCGGACGCCTGAATCTAATCAGTACATACCCCACGGATTTTTTCTGGATTTAAATTATGGCCATGTTTGTGTGAATCACGATAATTAAAAGTACACGTTTGGAGATTTAAAAATAAAACAACTTCACGCGTGTATAATACTCTTTTTGTCGACGTTTAATAATTGCAAGGATACTTTTAATTTTGATTGTGTCATGTGAATGAACTTCTATAATTAGTCAGTCAATAGACTTGCCAGTATAAAAAATTATATTGCATAAACTTCAAAAGAGATGAACTGCCATGATGATTCAGCCAATAGACTTGCCAGTTTTGACGAAATTACATGTGTTATAAACTTTTCAGACTTTAGAATCCTTTAGAATCGCGTGTTTTAATCAAAATATCCTTTGATATGGATTTATATACATCACGTGAATTTTTACTTTTAGATCATGCTGCTTTAAAAAAAGATGAGGTCATGACAATTGACTAAGTAAGAGATTATTTCTTTGAATTATGCAATCAATATTAAATGAATTTTTGTATAATATGACCGATAAAATTACTCCAATTTTATTTTATATAGTATGTTCTAAAAATTTTAGAATATAAGTTACCAGTTTAAACTGATATAGAATAATTACTTTATCGATTATATAATATCAGTATAAACAAATGTATAATTTTCTACAGAAAATTACATGATTATACTTTTTTGATATTTTTATATGTAGCATATTCAAAAATCTATTTAAAGTTTGTAATATAAAATTTTATGTAATGTATATATTATAACCCGGTTCTTGAGCAAAACTGGATTACATACATATAAAGTTGTAGATCTTTGAAAACAGAACGAAAAATTATATTAGAGAACGTAAGTATAATTTATGTTACTAGCTTGACATATGAATATTTAAGTACAAATAATCAGGAAATTCGTTTTTTCTGAAGATGTTACTTTTTTATATATTTTTTAAGGGAAGTTATTATTATCTTTATTCATTATATTTTTAATAATATATATCTTATAATTATTGCATGATTTTTATTTACTTTATTGATAATGGTTTTTGAATCAAGAAAACTGGATTAAATGTAGATTTTTTAACAGTATATTAGCTAAATAATAAGTTTATCTTAATGTAAAAATATTGGTAGCTTCATAAATAATATATGTCTAATTAATGATGGTTTTTTTTTTTTATTACCCCATTTGGCTATTAATATTTTGAAAGTAGCGAGCTTAAAGCTCGTCAGATATTTAAACGCAAGGTGATTGATCGTTGCTAGAAAAGATCTGTTATCTTTTAAAATTTTTAAAAATTTAAAATCTTTTGATAAAATAAAATGTTTTATGAAAATTATTTTGCAGGTTTTACGGTTAAAGGGTGTAAATTTTATATTTATATCTATTTTCTTTTTCAATATCCGTGTTCGTTGCTGGCATATTTGGTTAAAAAAATGCTGTACAAAAATTTAATTGGACTCGATAAATATGGTATGCATTTATTTATGTTAATTGATATTCGTGATCACTATTGTTGATCTTTGTAGAGGTTACCTATGAAGAATGTATGATGCTCGTTGATTTCTACATGGAAGGGCGGCACCCGGAGTGGGTGAATGCGAGAACTTTAGATCTTTTCGAATTTTTCAACCTTCCTTCCCCGCTTCCAGGATGGCGAGAACAACAACGACAACGAGAGCAACGACTACAAGAGCAACAACAACGGCATTAACAACAGCACCACCACTATCAACAACACCACCAGCAACAGCAACAACTACAATAACGACACCAATTAGAACAATACAAAAAAGAATTAACAAATTTAAGATCTGAAAAAGACGAGATAGTAAAAAAAATAAAAAACATAGACGATATGCTTCGAAAACCGTATTCTGGTTCTTCAGAATTTATATTGTTATTCGAAGCTAGAAACATTTATTTAACAAATAGATGAAATATAATAAATAATCGAATGAAGATTGTAGATGATTATATAAAAGCTATAACCGAAAAATATAAAATGATATTGAACAATTTACAAATGTATCAGATCTTTGATTTGTTAGAAAAACATGTATCAGAATGTAATATATGTTTTGAAGTAGGAACTACTTTTAAATGTTTAAAATGTGCTTTTTGTTCTCATTCCGATTGTTTGATGAGTTGGTACGATGTTTGTTACACGTTACGATGTCCAGGTTGTAGATTAGTTTTGTAAATTTTTTATTTGTAAATATTAAATAAGCTATTTTAATTAGTATTAATATATAATCTGTGCATTTTGCTTATACTATTAATGTATATAGAGTTTAGTGTATATTTCAGTATTTAAATTTTTTTTAAAAATAAGAATAAAGCAAGTTGATATTTGTTATAATTATGTGTCACATAAATGTTTTATAATGAAAAGTCTCTGATTAAAAATTTCAACGAAATTAAAATGTCCTCAGAGTGGTAAGTGGAAAATTTAAGATTGAAGAATGAACTCGAAAACGTGTATGATATGGTAAAAAATCTCTGGTCGCATGTTGGGATATGTTACATAAATTACAATATAATTTCAAACAAAATCAGAATCAAATTTTAATTTCAAGCAAAATTAGATATAATTTCTGTATAACTTCAGGCAAAATTAAAATAATTTCAAGCAAAATTAAATATAATTCTGGAAATAGCTCCAGGCAAAATCAAATTATAAATTCAAGCATAATCTCAGGCTAAATTATGCATAACTCCTGTAAAATCAATTTCGGACAAAACTATAACTCCAGGAAAAATCAAAATATAATTCCAGGCAAAATTAAGCCTGAAAAGTTTATCATACATGAGATTTCGTCAAAACTTTTGACAGACATTCACAAATCAAGAAGAGGAATTCAATAAAAATACAAGTTTAATTATAATAAAGAAATCAATACATGATAAAATCAAAGTATCAAACATAATCTAATTTTTCATACTGTAAGAATAATTATCAATATTCTAAATTTGTGAATTCGTTAGTGTCACGTGATATCTTACTTCATAATATCTTATGAAGTTTTACTTCTTTGTATTTCAAATCTACTGCCAAGATCAGTAAATAAACTTCTTAATTCACTATCGTCACGTGTTATTTACTTCAAATATAATGTCAAAAGTTTTGAAAATCTCATGCATGATAAACTTTTCAGGCTTTAGAATCACTATTATAAAGTCATATCTGATTATCTTTCTCGCATGAATCTTTATTTTGTTTGCGTGATGCTCTAAAAAAAAGTCGAAAATTCGAACGGGTTATGATAATTGACTGAGATTATCTCCTTTGAATTATATAAACGAATGTATAATTTTCTACTATATAGAAAATTACATGATTATACTTTTTTTGATATTTTTTATATGTAGCATATTCTAAAAATTTTTAGTTTATACTATATGTAGAATAACGATATATATTATAACCCTAACATAAAAGCCACTCTAATTTAAAGTTCAATTTAATTATAGGATTTTCATACAATTTACTTTATCTATATCGAATTAACGTTAACCGTCAGTACAAAAAATCAAGCCAAATAAAGTTGCAGATCTTATTAAAGATATCTAGTAATGGGAAGATGAAGCGTATAAAAAAATTATGTATTTTGCCAAATTTGGAACTAATATAAAAATTATTCTAATTTTAAGTGCGTAGTATAAAAATTTTAGAAAAACTGGTTTTTTGACTTTACTTATATCAGATATCAAGATAAATAATATTTGTAGCATATTCTAAAAATTTTAATTTATTATGAGGTAATTCAATGAAACATACAAAATCACTCAATTAAATTACTATAAATAATGTGATGTTAAACCCTTACTTTTCTTATCTATCGAACGAGCTTAAGAATATATACTAAGGAAGTTTTTTTATATTATTCTTTATATTTTTATACTGCCGGATATTCACTTTATATATTCATTTCTTAGGGAAAAATTTGATTCATAACTTCGTGTTGGGATAACCAACTTTGGCAATTTGATAACAAATCAAATTTGTCTCGTATCTGTAAGAGATACCAAACCCGGCGATTTGATTTCTTTTGAGGTCAAATCTGTCTGTTATCTGTAAGAGATATAATAGCCATGCTGATGATTTTATTTCAAAGTGGTTGCACAAATTAAATATTTATTTAGGCAACACAAGTATTCTGAGTGGCCAATTCTCAAAAAAAATATCTTCGCGAATTTTACGAAGTAAAGTAGATAAAAGAAAATATGAGAGTGATAATGATAATGACCCACCGACACAAAAAAAAATAAAAAGAACGAAGATGATGATAGCAAAGATACTGTAACAAGTACCTCCTCAACCCCCAAACGATCAGTGAATAGAAAATCTAGAAAAGAAAAGCGACAAAGAAGAATAACCAAGCCCTTCATAATCAATCAAATTGATAATTTTATAAAAGATATCAGTAACCAAAAACGCAAAGCTTCCAATAAAAATGAATGCATCTATAATCATGAAATTGAATTGTTTGAAGATTTGAAGAAAATTTTTGAACTTACTAATGAGAATAATTCTTTGGTTTTTGCATTTTATCGTAATTTTCAAGATAAAAGAAAAGAAAGTGTTAATAAAATTAAAAGGTATTTTATATTATATATATGTTTTAATACTATATATTTATTGTTAACTTTTTTAATCAAAAGATTATGTAAAGAAAACTAGCGACTTAGATAAGAAATTAATGAATTAAATGAAGAGATTATGATATTGAATGATCAATACTTAACCGAAGTGGCTGAAAATGAAAAAATGAGAACATGAATAGAAGAGCTGGCCGAAGAGGTTACAAAAATGGATTTAAACAAAAGAGATTTGCAAAATAAATTTGATAGATCAGAGACCAAGGCATTTTTTTTAATATTTAAATATTATTTATTATAAAATATACTATTAATAAAATTTTTCTAATGTAGACCAAAAGATTAGAAGAAGAACTTAGAATATCAAGAGAAACTAGTAAAGCATTAAGCACTGAAAGAAGTGAAATCGCAAAAAAAGTAATTTTTAATATTCTGAAAAAAAAAACCGTATTATAATAGATTCTTATTATTGGCATATTTTATATATTTTATATAGGTTAATGATTCGTTACGTAAAAAAGAATTTGCTGAAAATAGAATTACAGAACTCGAAAAACAACATAACTAGGATCTTATTTCAAGAGATTTTACAGAATTCGAACTCAAGAATCAGATCGTTGTATTAAAACAGAAGGTTATGGATTTAGAAACTAGTTTAAGAAGTATAAGCAAAAGAAGATTGAATCAATCAAGTATATGCAAATTTACTCTTATATTTTTTAAACAACTTTGTACTAACTTTTTCATTTATAGCGGGTTCAAATAGGTCAGATAATGAAACTTCTGAACATGTTGAAAGCAATAGAGATAAAGATACAAGCAATCTATTAGGTACATATAAATTAATTTCATATGTTTATATTTTAATTTTTTGACCAATTAATTTTTTTTTTTTTTTTTTTTTGCTTATATTTATTTATGAGATGATACCAATGTTAATATACAGTATATAAAATTGTTGATTAAAGATTGTTTTACTTTACAAACAAATTTGTTAATAAAGAATAATAGAGATTCCTAGAATACCGGAAGAAGTTTGTCTCGAACATAATGTATAGTTGCAAATTTATGACAAAAAATTATTGATTTAGAAAACAGATAAAATAAGTATAATGATCACGTGAACGCACCTGGCTTTAGATGATCCTCAATTTCATTTTTGCTAGTATCGGTATCATAAAGAAATAAGATTTATAAAAATAGAAAAATCTCATTTTAATTAAAGGGACCTCGGAACTCTATTTTCCTATATATTAATACAGTCAGACCTCCCTAAATGCAACCTCTCTAAATGCATATACTCTCTAAATGTATGACTTGGCCTGGTCCCAACTCATATGCTACTTATTGATTTTTACCTCCCTAAATGCAATCCCTCTCTAAATGCAAGGTTTTTTATTGGCCCAACACTATGCATTTAGAGAGGTCTGACTGTATCACAATTTTATATAAAGATTCTGAGAGCCGCATAATTTGTATAATTCGCATCCATCGCATAATTTAACTCGATCTCATCGCATAATTTACTCTATCACATCGTGATCTTTTAATGGTAAATTTGTAAATATAATTCATTAATCTAGTAAATGTAGAATTAATTTATGTAATTGAGTTCTACCCAAATTAAGCCTTAATTTTGCCCAAATTCATGAAACTACCTTTTATAATTCGTTCTCCGACGGCAACTAGGGCGTGCAGAAAATAAACTGGGTTCGAATAATAAATTTAAATTATCAACAATATCGATATTGAATTATATAACAAATTCAAGCATAATCCCTGGCTAAATTATGCATAACTCCTGTTAAAATCAATTCCGGACAAAACTATAACTCCAGGAAAAATCAAACCATAATTCCGGGCAAAATTAAGCCTGAAAAGTTTATTATAAAGTTTAATTATAATAAAGAAATCAAGGCATAATACATAATAAATCTAAAAAGAAATATAAAAAAGCATATAACCGAATATAAGTACTTTCAAAATTTTTGAACTATCAATCAAGTTTTTTTTTACTATTTTGGTACTAAAATTGCGTGATAAATCAATACAAGTGTTTTATTTTTAGCAGCTGTCATTTAAATATAATTATATAAGAAAACTTTATTTATATTTCTTTAATCAAATATTATTATATAATACCATATAAAAAAAGTAATTATGTTATTAACAAAAATATATAAAGCTGAAAAAATAAAAAGAGATAAATATAAAAAAATGAGACGTAAATATGTTAAGAAAATTACTAGATCTGCTAATATCGATTCATACGAAAGTCTGGCCAAATTTTATGAAAGACAAGTCGAATTTCTCAAGCGTGAAAGAAATTGTGTTACAAGATTTTTTAATAATAACAGTATACAAGGAGATAATTTGTCTATTAAAGTAGCAAGATTACAAATTTTAATAGATGAAGGTGAAACAAATAAAGCAAGAGTTGAAGAACTTTCAAATAATCTTTATAAACGAGATACTGAAATCAAAACCTTAAAAGATAACATTAAACTTCTTACAAAAGAAAAGGATGACTTTAAAAAATAATGTAATAATTTGGAGGCCGAGAATAACCAATTAAAACAAAAAATAGAAGAAATGAACGTGGTTGCGGAGCGTACAAAAAGACTACATAAACAGAATATAGAAAGAGCAAGAGTACATAATAATAATCTTTATGAACAACAGTTAGCTTATAGTAGGCAATTAACAGATCAAGGTATTTTTTTATTTATATATACATAATAAACGTAATATTTTGCTTACTATCATATTAATAAATTTATATACGCTTAAGGTCTTGTCAGAACAACATCGGTACTTCAGCGAACCGAATTATCTTTAAATTTAGAATTAGAACCTGAACCATTACCAGCACATCAAAGGGAAGAATTGGATTTGTTGGGTCGTTTCTTGTGCATACCCGATGAACGCAACGAAACCACTGAGAATAATTGAAAAATGCAGCGCTAGAAACTGAAAATATGAACTTAAAAATAGAGAATGCAGACCTTAAATCACAAGCCAGTAACCT